TTTTGTTGCTTCAAATCAGTTTTTATATTTTGCAGTGTTTTCCAGAGAATTTTCAATCTCCTTTGAAGTCAAGTTGTGGAGAAATTGAAAGACATGATTGAACAATAGCCCGGGTTGACAAAAAAACGTATCATACAATATTATACAACTTTATAGGCTAGAAATAATGCATGAAACTAGAAAAATAAGCATTTTTTCTCTACAATGAGACTTAATGATAAAAATGCTTGTCAGTTTCTGGAAACAAACAACTTTGTGCAATAAACAGTTTCGTTAAATAGAAGGCTCAATTTGTTTTAATTGAACATTCTACGATGAGCAGTTTCCCATGCACCGAAGTTTTAGCATTTGTTTGCATAAAAGAAACTTTCGCAAAATTTCTGAGTTTTGTTTTCAAATTTTGTGTAATGTCTTAAAACACAACAAACAAAAATTTTCCTACATAAGAAGACCAAGATTGTAATTGGCCGTTTTTGGGCAGATCAAATGTATTTGGTGTTATTTGGTGATGGGTCAATTCAGGTTGGGATTTTAACACAGAAGTATATATATACCAATAACAGGGCGGATCTAGGATTTTCTCGAGGGGGGGGGGCGGATTTTCACAAAAAATTCGAAAATTTTGACGACCTTTTTTTTAGGTCGACCAAACTGATTTTTCGAGCTCTCCCAAAGCACTGTTTTGCCCCTATTTTGGCTAAATTTTCTGCGCCGCAGGCAAACTTTTGAAAAATCAGTAAAAAAAAGCCGTTTTTGGGCACTTTTAGAAAAATTTTAGGGTCGGTCAGCCAAAAATGGATTTCTGAAAAAGTATCAAAGGGGGACCCTTTGGGTCGGCAGGGGGTCGAATCCCTGAGGGGGGGCATCCGCCAAACCCATCCGCCGCCCCCCTCCCCCCCTAAATCCGCCCCTGACCAATAAACTAACTTTTTGTACATGGCTAGAAAATTTTTACTCAGTTGTTGAAAATAGTGTGCAACTTTTTTTTCGTAAATTGTTCGTTTTAGTACAGTTGTTGAAAATAGTGTGCAACTTTTTTTTCGTAAATTGTTCGTTTTAGTACAAACGAGCTTGCTATCAAAAAAAGCGAAAACTACGTTTGACCTTAATTTTTTTCTACAGAAATCGATTTGTTATGTAGACATTTTGTAGGCATCATTTGTCATAGCTTTTCTATGACAATCGCCTCTAAAACATTGCAAGGATTTGGGTTAGAGTTCGAAGATTTAGTTGCCCAATTTTGTGCAATTTCATAAAACTGAGCTTCGTGCTAAAAATTAGTTTTTAGCTCGCATTTTCATGGAAATTACCTTATTTTATGGGATAGCCTATCATAATTAACTATCAACAAATAGTGCTTCAAGATAGCCAGGAGCTAAAGACTGTTTGTCACTGTTTCTTAACTTCCGAGAGTGTGCAAAAACGGACAGAATTTTTTTTCCGAAAAAGAGCGAAGCAATGAATAAACCGATTCATTTTGCAGACGAAAGTTTGGGTTTTGACGTGACAGGCAAGGCAATATTTTGGCGCTTCCACAAATTTAATTTGTTTGTTCCTCAAATTTAATGTGCATCTGCACCGAAAGTCTCTTAGGACTCTGCGATGCCATTAAATAGTATCAAAAAGCAAACCCTTTGGTTAATGAGAGGGTGAAGTACCTGAGAGCGGGCCATAAACCAGCAGCTGCAAAACAAAGAACAAAATCACCAACTTTTTACAGTTAAATTTCATCAAATAAACAAAACAAAATTACAAAAAATGGTGCGTTTTTTGTTCAATTTGTGAAAAAGAAAATTTTTGCTTTATAACTGCTTTGAGTAAAACATTGGCAGCATTTGATTTTATCGATTTTTCTTTAAAGAATGCTATATCACGCCACTGCGCTTATTTCATCAATTTTTGTTCGGCTGTTAATTAAGTATAGTATTGGTTCTGTATATAATCATAAGTCAAAACAGCTGGAGATTTTTTTTGAGTTACTCGGAATGTTGGATGAGATTTTTTGTTTGTGCATGTTATTTCAAGAAAATTGCGATAGCTCATGAAAGCTATAAGGTAGATTGTTCTTGTATTTTATATGGCATAACTAGATTATGGAAACGCAGTTGTGAACATTTCACTTCCGGTTTTGTATTTATGCGATTGCTTCGTTGAAACTTGCACTAAACCAAAAATTGTTTTAAATTTTAAAAATAAAACGTTTTAAGATAGCCCATTTAATGAAAAATTTAATCATTTTTGAATTAAGTCCAACAAATCTATGGGAAATTATAACATAACTTTTTGAAAACGGGACATTCAAAATCGGAACCAGTCATCAAAACCAACCAGTGAAAACAATGGTTGTTGCAGAGTTTTGGCAAACCGTATTTTTCTGTGAGACTATACCATAGAACACGGTAAGATTATGTTTCGAAACTACATAATTTGTGATACATAAATAATGAGAAAGTTTCACGTGGAAAAAAAAAAAGAAAAAGGCAAACTTGCATCAAGTTCTATGGTCTAATTAATATCGAGCGCTTGCGCCGCCGAAGGTACGCCTTAAATCAGCATACATTTTAAAATGTTTTCGCGCTATTAATTAAAAGAAACACAGCCATTAATTTACTTGCAATTATTTTCCAAGCCTGTGAGCTCTTAATATGATACAACCGCATAAATTCATAGTAAAAACATATTTGAATTGGGTCAAAAACAAATCTAATCTCTATCTACCCCAATGTTGTAATCTTTTTGCTGCGGTAATTAATACAGTCGATAATACTTTGTGCAAATATGGAGCAAACATTAACTTTTAAGTTTGTGCTTTTTTTCTGAGCCTTGCTAAAGCTTTCAACTTTATTTTTCATCAAAAAATTTTTAAAACATTGATTTGAACGCTTTTTTATTTAAATTTCAAATCTCTCCAATGTGTTTCTCAGAGACTGTAATCCATGACTGACCTTTTGAAATCACCAAAATGTATCAAAAGGTGCAGCTTCATGCCCATTAGATTTCTCATTAAGTCAACGAATAGAAACAAATCAACAGAACAGTAAAGTTGGTGCAATTGCTGACAACACGAAAATCTCCGGAAAAAGTAACTCAATATGGGCTCAGAAAAATCCAGTACCCACAATAATAGACGAAAATGATAATTGAATGAAAATAAACTGGTTCTTCATATCGCTCAAACAAAACACACTTTTTGGTGACTAGAAAAGAATTGGACATTTTGTCTAAAAAAACAAAAAAATTAATATAGCTAATGCAGTTTATTTAGTATCTCTGAACGATATCTGGTATCATTAGAAACAAGGATCGTGCTGTCATACTTTTTTCATGTTTTGAAATTTAGTACACCTGCACTGACGAAGTTGAAATTGTAATTCAAATTGGTTTTATCCAGATAAAATTCGTAAAACAAATTGAATTACTTTCGCCCAATTAGATACTTAGCCCAATAAAATACAATAAATTGATTTAGAATGGAAGAAATAGGTTTTTACGGAAGAAACAAAAAATCGGTTTGACTGTCTAAAAAATGGACAAATCGATTTAAATCCAATTTTTGTTACTAATATTTGGATGAAAATAAAACCACAATAAGTGTTGGACAAAAAATGGATCTAAATTGGCTTAGAATAGATTGAAGTTGATTTTTAAACGAAATTTTCGTATCAAACTAAATCGATTTCAAATCGAATCAAATCGACTTTTAAGGTTTTGGCTACTTAGCTACATATCTCTGAAAAATGGATTGTAATCCATTCCTTGTCAATACAGCAGCGTTTTTTCAAAATCTACATTTGTCACTGTAACAAATTAAACAAAACTGCTCGTATCAGGGCGAAGCCCTGAATTTTTCGACAGCCTATTAAGGTTTAGGGAGCAGTAATAACATTAAAAAATTTAAAAGTAATAAAACAAAATCAAAAAATTTTTTCCCTGAAATTTGAAATTTTTGATAAAAATCATCCCCCCACACACCATTTAAAGTACAAAAGGATGGATTTCGCTACTTGTAACAAATCAATTAGCAAATAAGCTTCGTTAAACCAATTTGGAAAGATTTCTAAGACGGATTAACTCTCCGCTTACGCGTTAATAGCGCGAAAGATATCGCGCGTAATTTGTCCCACATTGGCCAAAATGGCAATCTTTAAACCCCTATAAATTTACGAAAAATGATAGATTTTAAATGATAGACAGGTAAAATATTTTTTTAAAACTTGAGCTCAAAACAACAATACGTTTCGAATGAAATAAAAAAAATTCCGTCAGAAATGGCTAGTTAAAAAGTCGAAATTTGTCTGAAGAAAAAAAACCCACCCAGAGCACAAATATTCCGTTACTTTCGTATCGAAAGTCGGAACAACAAGCAAGTTTGTAGGAGAATGTAGTTTGTAAAAAATGAGCTATTTTCCTGGCAAATTTCAGGCTCAATTTTTTGTTTTATGTCTCAAACTTCTACAGCTAAACTATCTGTCAGCCAACGCAGCTTACCAAAAAAATTGATATGTCCATAACTTATATGTTAAAAATTTTTCAAAGTCTGGTAGGAAAAGATATCTGTTGCGGATAGTAGTTGGAAATAAAAAGAGCAATAACTAAACAAAATGTGAAGTTAGAATTTAGATTTTAAAATTATATCTATTGCTTCATTTTCAGATTATTTATTATTTACGAAAAGTTTTGACTTTATAACATAGGTAGTGAGTTGCATACCTACATGGTGACGGCAACTTTGATTAGTATTTTTCGTGACAAATGTACTTAATAGCAACATGTATTTTTGGAAACTAATTTTAAAACATTCAAAAACTACATGTTTTTAAGAAAAAACTGATTCGTGGAAACGTGACGCTAATTCAGTTTCAATGCGTTTTCCCACACCCAATGATTGTATGACTTACAAATGTTCAATATGTAGAACTGTTTGATAATTTTGTTTTCCAATTTATAAAACATCGTAAAAAAATTTCTGCTCTTGAAAGTTGTCCCGCGATAGAATCTCGGATTACGGAATGTCAATTTAGTCGGAAAACATAATTCAAGGAAAAGGGAGAAACCAGAAAACTTGCACTCAAACACGCAGCAACAAGAGGAATCTCAAGTTCCATTGGTTAATTTTTATTAAGATTTTTCGAGAGTTTCTATATTCTGATCTTCAGCAACTCTTCCGCAAAACAGTGCTTTCAGGTACCGGTAGATCATCTTTGCGGGTTCCTGGAATGCGCGCAGCATCACAATCAATAAAACTGAGTTGATGAACCCGTACGCATGTTTCAATGCCATCAGAGCGGGACTGAGCACTGTAAAAGAGTGGTACTTTGTGTTCCACTGTTTCGTAGAGATCGCGAGGTCTTCGAAATATCTCCTTACATCTGATCCCCAGCTGTAGCAGTAATAGTTAGACCAAGGTTTTCACTAGATCATGGAATTTATTCACGGAATTTTCAAAAGATAAGACGAAAAAAACAGAATTCTCGACTTATTCCACCCTTTTTAAAAATTGGTTAACTGACTTTTTGAGTAATTTTGAGAACAGAAATGCGCCAAATTTTTCAACCAAAACAATTCGCATGGCGCTTTTGCTAAATTTGAAACCAGCGTTTCTCAGCGTTCTTTCATGTGATTGGTTGGGTAGATTATTTTATTTTTTTTGTAGATTATGATTTAGTTTACCCTATATGTAGCAATCTACGCTATGTAGTTTAACGTATGTAGCAAAAACATTATAGTTTTTGATATTTTTTTGCATATTTTCAAGGTTTTGTAAGGCTTAGATTTGGAAAAAAATGGGCTTTTTCTGCTTTACTTTTATTTTTGTTTAATATATTTTGCCTCGAGATTCTTCTAGCAGCCTTTTTCAGTAGCTAGAGCTGAGGAAGTGTCAAGAGTTACTTAAGGTACAAATATAACCCTGGATAGATTTAAATACTACCAAGTTCTAGAGTTATAAGTTAAAATGAGCATTTGAGCATTGTGTCCAACGGAAATGGCTTAGTAATGATTGTGTGTCTTGAAGACCGATTATTTTAATTTTTTTCTTTATTTCGCTTTTTTCAATTTTTTTCATCAATTAGTCACTATGAAAAAAACATTGTTTTAGGTTTTCACAAACAGTTTATGAGTTGGTCTATCACTGTGAGTCGTTTGACTCCATATCGTAAAGTAGATAAGAATCAAAAATGAGATGTGGCAGAACACAGCAAATCCATGACAAGTACAGGAATCCGAAAGCCTTCGTAAGTTTCCTGTTGGCTGTAGTCTGGCGAACATTTCGAAGGGTTTGAATGATTTTGAAGTAGAAAAACCCAGCCAAAATTCCAGCTGCTATGAAAAATGCGAACTCAATTATTCTTTTAGAATATACGTTCCATTGCAACCAGCATTCATCGCAGACTGTATCGTACGTATTGTCCTTCAAAATTTGTCAAAATTGGAAGAGAAAACTTTTGTCGGCAATTTGGCCGTGAAAATTTAACTTGGCAGGTTTAAGATGACTTCCGACCCACTGTTCGAACGTTAATGTTTTTCATTTGTTTTTTTTTAGGTTCAGATTTTTCACTAAGTTGTTTTAAATACTGCCGTTTTTTTTTAATTGCTGGTTGAACATCGCCCATGTTGGACTTCATTAAAATTTCCCGGAAATCATTAAGTTTATTTGAATTTCTGTAACTTTATTCATTTTTATCGGAAAGCCTCCGGTGTCTCACAACTATGTTTGGCTTTTTTCAATTTTCTTTGTTCCACTATCCGAGATATTTTGAATTTGAATCTACCCTACTATAACATTTGTTCTAAATTTATCTAAAGTTCCTGCAAATTTTCAAATTGATTGGTTTCATAAAGACTACTTTCTGTTTTTCTAAGGTTTTGATCTGTATTGTTGATGTTGTCATGAATTGAGTCATTTATATACGCATAGGTTGTTTGAAGAAACAATTTTGTGTGTTAAGAAACTTGCAGTTTCAAGCAGCTAACTAGAATTAAAACCTCCAATTCACCATGGAGAGCGGAATGTTTCCAGGTAGTCGTAGTGACGAGTTGGGACTTCCATCGTTCTACTTTTTTTTGGTTTCAAGTCCAACTTTGACAAATTTTACAAATCGCATGTTCAAAATGTAGTCTCCCACAACACAAGAGGGTACAATGACTGCACATAAAGATATCAAGGAATAGTAGATGATCTTGTTTTTTCTCGATAGAATTTGTTTCACTGAATGAGGTTTGCAAACAATCACCCATCGCTCAAAGCTCATTCCGACCATGAGGAAGCATTGACAGTAAAAAGGAAACACTTCCATCGTCTCATTGAAATATTTGAAGTAGTTTTCCAGAAGTCGTTCTTCGTTGCTCCAATCGGAAAGAGGTAGAAGCTTCTGCACCAGTGCAGTCTCACAAAAAGTTGAGTATGGGTTGCTGAAGGGTTTTGCTTCCGCTGTTTTTATTTGATTCAACAAGTATTGAACCATTAGATCTTGTTAACTTTCACCCGTCCCTTTTGCATGGGGGATTCGCTACAAGGTACAAAAAATCCTTACTGCGACAAAGCTCGCAATAAAGACAACTGGCATTAAACGCCAACTCGCAATATACTCAACACCGCAGTCGCTTAGCGAAGTTATAATTTAATTTTGATTGTGAAATTTTGAATATTTTTTTTGAAATGATTAGAAGGGCTGATGCCGGAGCTGTGTTGAAAACGTTGAAATTTGAAACTTGAATTTATTTAGGTGAAAACTCGTAAAACCATATCTAACTCCATTTGCATTTCAATAACACCAACCACATAAAAAAAGCTGTTCAGTTTGTCGAGGTATGCCCGGAAAAACTTTTACATAAGTTGCGAAAAGATATTGACTAAGAATGATATAAAAAAAGCCCAGAAGTAAACTATTGCCTTTGACAAAATTACAATAAAAATTGTAGAGCCGATCCAATTGATATTGTGAAAATTACTTTAATTTATCCGGTATAAGTTGATTCGATCTGATCAAAATTAAAACATTTTAATGAAATAATCCGCCAAGGTTGCTGCATAGTAAAACTACGAGACGGTAAGGAAGGCAGCATTTTCAGAGAATTGGCACGCGCTACCCTCCTGGTAACAAAAGATTCAAGATTAAAAGTGCTAATTGGGTTCTTCCCTATAAGATGCTAGAAAGTTTCACGAAAAGATTTTCTAAAATACAAATCGAACGCAGTGTCAATTTCACATATCTCCTTTCTCAAGAAAGTCGGATACATGATCAATTTTTGCCTTAAAAATTGTTTTGAAAACTTCCTTGCTGCATTGAATGATTTTGAGTGAGAGAAGATTTCGATTTTGCACCATAGGATATGTCAACATGAAGTTAATGGTTCAGACGTTGTAATATTTGACTAAGGATGACTTCGAATACACTTTTCTTGCTCTAAATAACAGCCCGTTGAATTTCTACAAAATTTATATCAACTTGTGAATCTGATGGTCAAGTTTCAGTGTATTTTCGATCTCATTTTCAAGAAATTAAAAGACAGTTACTTTTTCGAAAGTGCAATTGCCGATCAGAAAACTATCGTTGCCACAAGCTCGATAAAACTTCATCATCTAATTTTTTGACTCAATTTTTAGCAATTTGTTGTCAGTGCACAAATTGGATATTTTGCTTACGTAAGCTTGAAACGTCAAAGAGTTTGAAATTTTGTTGGCATCCACTAATGATGTATCACTGCTCCAAAATAATGTTTCCCTCATTGCATGAGATAAGTCGTTGATGTAAATTTAAAAAAAGAGAAAAAGACCTGAAACTGATCCTTGAGAAACGCTTTTGTTAAACTCTTATATTTTTGACTTTGTCTCAGCTTAATACACATACTGTTGTCTATTTGTTAGATAATTTTCCTTTAAGCCGGAAGTTGTACCCGGAGAACCAAATTGTTTCATTTTTTCAATCAAAAGATGCGGTCAAGTGTATCAAACGCTTTCTTGAAATCAATGAAACAAGAAAAGTTGAATCGTTTTTGTGAACCCTCTTCCAAATGATTATGATACTAAGTTGGTTATAGCTACAATTGCATGAATACAGATTCGATTATTTCTGAAACCGAAACCAATTTCATGTATAAGTTTGTTTTTTGAGGCGAATCAAAGTATTTGTAAAAACCTTTCCGATTGCAGATATTAAACTGATTGGTCTATGTTTACCTGGATCGTTCTTCACGCCATCTTCAATCAGCTGGAAAATTTTTGAAAATTTTAACAAGTCGGGAAAAACTTCCTGCCTGTAGCACTAATAAAAAAATCCAATTTATCAGCTGAGACTGTTGCAGCTATTTTGAGCATTTGATTGGAGATCCCATCCTGAATAACAGATTTTTTTTGTTCAGATCTTCAATGGTTTGGATTACTTCATTTTTTATCAGTATGGGAGTGAAAAGAAAGAGTTGCTGTTGGCTCTGAATTTGGATTGAAAGTCTGATTCTCAGTCGCGAAATACTCATTGAAAGCGTTCACGTCGTAGGGAAATTTATGTAGTTTATTTCAAAGGCAAAATGATTAATGTCCTTGAACATTCCCGTTGACTTCGACTTAATTTCAATGATCGAATCAAAAAATATACTTTAACTGAGGAGCTTTCTTTGATTACTGTCTTTCTAGCTGCCTTAATTGTTGTGTTTTTCAATGTTTGGATGCTCTACCTAGCTTTTATGCAATCTGTTTTGCTTTTTCATTAGGTTTTTGTTTTTCGTGGGTATCCAAGATTTTTTTCTTAATTTGTTTTTCAGAGGTTTATTAGGACAAAAAAAATCAAACTGATTCAGATAATTTTTACATCGAAATTTTCATATTGTAATAAAAACGTTCAATTTGTGATTATGATTTCGTACATAAGTCTAAATTACTTGTAGTATCCAAAGCAGAACGGTCTTTTTTTACTACGTTAATTATTTTTACAGTTAGGTCCATACTCGACAACAAATAATCAATGCGAGAACTTGACGTTGAGCTAACCCTTATAGGTGAATAATTACTCATCAGTAAATCAAATGATTCCAAAACATTTTGTCCTCGACAATTTGTCTAACATTTTTTGAGAGAATATCAAGATTGAAATCACTAAATAAAATCAGTGCACCTTCTAGTCTCTTTAATTCGAATAGGATAGTTTCTAACTCCAAAAAGTCATAAAAGGCGTCGAGGCCGATAAATTTTACCTTCATTTTGATTCTCTCAGTTAGTTTTCTATATTTTCAAAACAAGATGTTCTAGATAAACTTGAAGACGTGAATGACTATATTTCAATCAATTCCTAACATAAAAAACTACACTGCCTCCCCTTGACTTTTCCCTATTACAGCATAAATTATCATCATAGACATCAGGGTGGTGAATATTTGTTTGATCAATAGAACTCAACGGTTTCACAAAGTCCTTTAACACCTGGTTTCGAATAATGTTATTTATTTAAATTGCCAGTTGATCGTGATGGGTTCGTACGTGTTGCACATTCAGAAAGAAATTGGGTTCTTCTTGAAAACTGTCAGAAATGAGATTGCAAAAAGACTCTCCGTGAATATTTTAAACAAAACAAGTTCTGATTTTAACGCCAAGACTGGTGAGTTTGCGATGTATCAATTTTTCATTTGCAGATTTTTTCGATGAACTATTGTTTTCGGTGGAACAGAATTACACATTTTTTTTGTTTTGAACCAAATTCATTTCATTATCAAAAACATTGCCATCAATTCCACTTTTAACACCTGTAGTTTTACTTCGCACCCGCAGGTTGTCTGGGAAATTGAACATACGATAGTTCGCATTGTGTACTGCCGTTTAGAAACGGGATTTTCTGTTCGTTCATATACTTTCCGAACAGCATCATCTTTTTTGTTAATAACATTCGCAACCAATTTTGCATTAACCGATTTAAATACATCCAACTTATTCGTGTGAACACTTTAATTTGACAGTTCCTGCTGGTGTTGGTGAGGTAGAACTAGTTGGCTTTTATGAATATCATTGTCCCATGATGTTAAATACTCTAAATGAAAGTTTTCCAATAAATTTTCTGCCCCAATTCATTTCTGCGATAATATATATCATGTTTTTGGCAAAATAATCAAATTTCAGAACGATAGGAACACTATTCCTAGTAGGTGGTTGCGGCTGATTCGCCTTGCGGTCAGCTGGTACAATTTTATATTCAAAAATTTGAAAAATGAAGTTATATACTTCGATTGTCAGTTGCGATGAGTTGGGTTTGAGCAGAAAATGTGAAATACTAGGCAATCAATGCTAGTATAGCGCTCCTGTTGAACCAGCCTTTCCTCTAGAGAGCTCACATGTTTCTTCAAATCCCAAAAACCTGAAGCATATTGATCCAAACATTTCTCAAGTTCGGAGATTATAACATCTTTTCCGTCCATCTGCTTCACCAAAACATCCACCTTAAAACAAATTTACTAATAATGTCGCCCTGGTCCATTACTTTGCCCTGATGTTGACTCTTTAGGGTGTACTTTGAGGCAAAAGTAATTGGTAGTGTTTTAAAACAGTAAATCAACTGCTTTTTAGTAGTTAGAAATATAAATGTTAAATCCAACTGCTCTTTTTTGAGAATTGTTTGATGAAGGTTGAAGAAATGCGTTGAAAAAGAGATCGACAGATTTTTAGCTGCTCATCCTAACTGCTCATAGTGCTGATAGATTCAAGAAGGACACTCTTCTGATAGTCAAAAGAAGCTCTGAATTGTTGATCGAAGCCAACGTTGATAAGAATCTAACATGACTTTATCTATTCAGTAAGTTTATCACAAGAATTAGGCTAATAAAACTGCACATAAAAGCACATTGGTAAATTTAATGCACTGATATCAGTTTTTCAAAAACTATGGAGAAAAAGCCAAAAATTTTGAAAAAATATATTAGGCTTAGTAAGATAAAGGGATTCATCATTTTTGGGGGTGAGGTAAAGCCGACAAAACCCGATTTGGTTCCAATTTAAACGTGCGTTTTCTTCAAAACATTTTGGATTGGCTCCAAGTGTGTCGCTAAGATATTAATGAAATCAATATATCGGTTGAATGAACATAAAAGCGACCGCATGTCGGCCATTTTTGCGGTTGTTTCCTTACGAGGCCAAACTGTGGGTTTAAAGATTGAAGTAATGAGGGTTTAAAGATTGCCATTTTGGCCATTTTGACCAATTTGGGACAATCAACGCGCGATATATTTCGCGCTATTAACGCGTAAGCGGAGATTTAATCCGTCTTAAAAATCATTCCAAATTGGTTGAACGAAGCTTGTTTGCCATAATTGATTTGTTACTAGGAGCGAAATTTATCACTTTGTACTTAATATGGCGTGTGGTTGGGTGTCTTTCACAAAAAATCTCAAATTAAAAAAAAAATTTCTTTTTAGTTTTATTTTTTTTCATGTTATCACTGCTTCATAGACTGCTGTATAAATTGAGGCATGTTATTTGTGTTTCTTAAATCAAATTGACTGGTGCTGCTAATGCGTCATAATTAACGTGCGTCACTTAAGAATTTTTGTAGTTTTACCCATTCAGTTTTTCCCAGTAGTTTACAGTTAATATTGCCAAAAAAGAAGTCTGGCTTAAGCCATGCAACCTCTCCATCTCACAACGAAGTATGCATGAAAACAAGAATTCTGTTTTTCAATAGAACATCTGTTTTTTCTGGAAAAAAATATTGAGTGAAAAAACTTTTGGCTTATAAAATTACCATCAATATTAATGCCAATGCATTCAAAAAGTCTACTAAATTTCTTTGAAGTTTTCCTGTTTTTCCATTTCTTTTACAAGCGGAGCAGCCGTAAGAGGGTTTCGACCCGACATATAATTTATTTATTCTTGTTTTTATAATCTTATCACTTTAATTCTTCCAAAATTTTAAATCTTCATTTAAATGTAATTGTTTTTTTCCTTTTTTTTGTAATTTGCAAACTATTAATCTAGATATGACTTTTCTCTTGCTAAATGCACAGAAAACATCAGCTCTTTTTTTTCTGTAACTCAATTAGAAAATCTTCCAAATAAATTGTTTTTTTTTCTGATTAGTGTACTTCCAACTTACCACCTCATTTAGAGTACTTAAATGGGCACTTAAATATGTGAGAATGAAATGGCGTAGATTAAGTTTACACAATTTTCCTGAAGACCAAAAGTGGAAGCCAAACCTCATGACCGAATATTCAGGTCCATAATTGGTGAATGACTGAAAAGTTGGATCGCGCTTAGTCATAATCGTTAGATCAATTTTCAGACCACTGAAAGTGAGAGGGAACTTAGTTTTTGTGTTTTTTTTTGTTTCCCTCGATCAGGTAACAAAAAAATTAAAAAATGACCAAAATAGGCCACGTGATATCTCATATTGAAACCCTTTCAGTCGTGAGTTGAACAGCTTCTTAACATTTCGGAAGATTTCGAGCTTCTAATCTAGATAGAAGTTTTATATAGATAATCTACCTAACTTTCTGGGTTTTCTGTACAGAAACTATCAATTTCTCATCTAATGCTAGAAATATATAACTTCTGGAAAGAGTAATTGGAAATCCGTTCACTGCTCAACCGCAACTAGATAAATATGAGTGTGTACACAAAAGCCTTACCCTCACTGGAGTTTCATGGATAAAAACCAATTATTTTTGTGTTTTTTGTCAGTGTCTACTAAAATGAAATTCAATCGGTTATATTCAAATAAAAAGGGATTACATTTGCTATTTGATGATAAGCAATAAAATTCTTTGCTAATCAATTATAATTGATTAGTTTTCACTTTTACAAATAAAGACAATGAAACTTCAAAAAATTGATATTCTCTATTTTTTGAGATACTCAATTTCAATGCGCTTTAAGTCTTTTATACGTTTTAAACTAAAGTTGGTTACTTGTTGTTCGTTTTCAATTTTGTTCTGCGCAACTTTGATTTTTGTTTCTATGTTTTTCACGTTCCTTCTTTTGTTCTCTCAACAATTTGTTCAAACTATTCACAAATTTGGGTGGAAGAATTGTAAGTACACTGTTTTTCAAACAATCGCATGCCGAGAAAACGCAATGTTTTCGGCCAAAATTTTTCCATAAATGGTTTTTCTGTTCGTTTTATCAAAAAAATTACTCACAAATTTACCCACCTACCCTTTGACCTGAACCAAAAGTGGTTCAGGAGGTCAAGTGGGGTTGGTTCAGGCGTTGGGGGTGGGGAAGTAAACTGGGTGGGGGTTTTAGGGGAGCAAAGAGGGAAGGCTAACGGAGTCATTTTGAATTTTGAGAAAACCTAGATTCAGAAATCGGATAAACCTTACACTCGCTTTGCAAAGTTTTCGTGTTACTCAAATGATGAATGCAGAAAATCTCACAATTTTATGCATAAGGTAAAACAAAAAAAATGATTTTAAACGGATTATTGGGATTTTAATTAAATTTTTGTTCAATTTGGTTGCCTGAGTGCATTGATTTCTTTTCACTCTTTTTGTCACTATAATTGATTTTTTTTTCACTTTTGTTGGATGCAGGTAGCAATACTGCAAATTAGCACCCGTTATAAACAGTGTTACTTTGCAACAGATTTTCGAATTTATCAGATCATGTGCCCTAGCCCTTAGCGCAAGTGTCTAGCAAACGGTAGATCTGAGGCACAAACTCGACCAGGACATTTTTTTTCTAGCTAGATTTAGCCTAGATTTAGCTCATTTTTGATAAGAAATAAGATGAGAAATAAAGAACTTTAAGAAAAATACTGCTTTGTTTCAACATTTCAAAATGATTTTCTGGCCATATATTCTTTTAAGAAGTTAAGTATTTCTAGTCAGAATTAAGGAATGTAATTGGTACGGGTTAACAGCATATAAAACGTGTGCTATCATTAGTTAGACTTGTGAGTAATCAGACATTTTTGATTTTTTTCAAATCTGATTGACTGAAAAAGGTGTTACTTTTTCCGATCTGAACATTTTCAAATTCAGTTGCAATTTGAAAAAAAAGTTGAACTTTATTTCAAATTGCAACTGAATTTGAAGATTTTCAGGTCGGAAAAGTAACTTTGTAATCAATATTTTATGAATGAGAACTTTAAAGTTACAAGTGATATATCCTTATTTAGCCAATCAGATTTGAAAAAATCAAAACTGTCTAATTACTCACACTTTTTTTTTACTTTTTACTGCTAACCTGTACCGATCAGATTCCTTAATTCTGACGAGAAACACTTATCTTGTTAAAAGAATTCTGGCCAGAAATTCTTTTTGAAACTTTTAAACAAAGCAGAGATTTTCTTAAATTTCTTTATTTCTCACTTTATAAGTTATGGAAAATAAAATTGTTTGACAACATTTAGCGTATAAGTATGGTGGTTTTGTTTGCAAAAATAGCTGGAGATATAGAAAATGCAATTTTTGTTTGCTTACTGACTGTTTTGCTCAGGCGGTTGTCTACTTACTGCTACGCAACCGTTGCTGACATTTTTTTGATAAAAACGTCAACAGATTAATCAATGTTGAGTTTTACAAATTATAATAGTTTTGAGATTTGCTTTTTGGGACCCGAGTTCTGATTTTTGGGACGTTTAGTGCACAAGACCCGAGATTTGAACTGAGAGCTATTGATTTGTAAATCACAAGTTTATATAATTGCTCGCAGCCTTAAAATTAGTTTAAAGGAGATCTTCAGCCTTTAAAAAAAATTAATTAAAATTTCAGCCAAAAATGAACATTTTGAAATATCTCTTGTCTAATGAGCTTCTGGATGATGAATGGCTTCCATTGAAGCTGATGATCTCTTTAACTATTCCCCCAGCCTTTTGCAAATCGCTTCTAGGTGCCAAAGAGGGGGTTACTAGGCCCTCAAGTTTGGTAGAATTTTAAAATCGTATATCAGCATTTCATTAAAACTCGATCCAAAAAAAATTGCAATTAAAATGCCAAATTATGTTTTAAATATTTCATATCTGTAGTCGAATTCAAATGTCCATCTTGTAAGTTCTTGTCAATTTACTAGTAAGAATTACGTTGTTGTAAGATTTTACAAAATAAAGTTTTTTAGCCTCTTACAAGAGACGGTTTTTATAGTTTTGAAGATGCAAAATAAACTTTTACAAAATAATTTTACAAAATAATTTTTTACAGCTTCTTACAAGAGACGGTCTTTGTAGTCTTCTGGAAACGCTAAGAAAATATATTTGGTTGGCCTATAAAAAAGATAGACAAAACTTTCGAAAAATTTATGAAATCCTTACGCCCCTGGTAAAAATCTCACAGGACCATTTTTTTTCCTGTCAGAACTCTTCAAGAAATCAAAAATTTTTAAAGGGTTTTTAAAGGATCGACTAATGACATCGTGTAATTTCATCTCTAACTTATTTTTTCGAAGTCATGAAATTCCATGCTGCCTAATGTAATTCTGATTTTTAAGGCAAACCTAATCAATCCATGTCATTTAATCATGTATTTATAGCGATCCACCTTACCACATATTCTTGAGCGAAACACATGTTTGCGAGGTCAGTTCTTGCTTGATAGAAATAGAAAAACAGGCCAGAGAGACCAGAGAAAAGAAAGTCATAGGCGCTCTGGAAACCAACCAGATAGAACTGCATGGCCTGCAGCTCCCCAATCATGTATATGGATACAAGGCAGTAGACATTCAGCAGAATTGTCATGAATGCCACAAACACCTGAATACCGCCAACAAGTGAATAGAAAACTCAAATAGTTTTTCAAGAACTTCATCGCCCGTCTTGCGCTGGTTAGAACCAAATTCATGAGCCAAAAAAAAACATTCGTCTAAACATGCGCATTGTAAAATCTTCCATTTTCTACCCAGAATTTGGAACTTTTTATTAATCCTAAACAAAATACCCCCAAAAATTAATTGTATCTATTTGGTAAGTCTATACTGTGTAAACCGAATCCAGTTCAGATAGAGAGCAACCAAACACGGAAAGAGTGAACTAACTGGTTATACATACTTAATAGCACCTATGTGCTGTTTCACACACACTCAAACCAAATAATATAAAAGCCACTCAAGTCCTGCTCGTTTTCATAGGGTGTGGGGGGGGGGGGGGGGGAATTTCGATGAGTATGTTTACCTCAGGCAAGTCAGTGAGTATCATGTAGAACCCTACATTTTGTTTGTTTTGCTCGTTGAACGGCGGAAAAGTAGGGAAAGCCATCACTCCCCCTCCATGTTCCATGTGCCATCTCAATCTCCAGTCTGAGGTCGTAGTCAAGGGGTTAGTCGTGGTTGGTGAGCCGGTATAGATGAAGTTGTCGACAGCAGCTGTGGTTGACGCAGAATAGAAATCGTACGTAGTCATCGGCGGTGGAATCATTTTTTCTATCTGATCCTTATATTTTTCTTTCCTTTAAAGATAAATTTATCGTATTGATCCAATTAAAAAGTAAAAAACTTGCGCTGGAGCAGAGAAGAAAAAAAAACAATTGAAACACTTGATTTTTAAAGAGGCATATTCAAATATGAAACATTCAATCGGAGGCCCGAAGTCGAAAAAAAAGCCCCTCAAATTTAGATTTCAGCTATAATGAAATCAATTTTACAATGTTTTTCTCATTTTCAAAATTAATTGATTGCATTTGAAACTAAATGGTTAAGAACTGCGCTCTACAACTCAGAATGATAACATAGCCGATATGACGATTGTATTGCTTCTCAAGCAGATCTGCAAGAGAATTCTTTAAGCAATTAATTACATATTGTATCAACTACTTCTGAAAATAATCTAAAAACTAAGTAGCCTTCAAAACAATTTCTTAAAAAGTTTGATTGTGCAATGCCATGATTGTGCTATTTTGTCATCGCCAAACGGGAGCGTTGAAAATTGGGCACGAAAATACAAGTTTTTTTCTTTTGTTTTTCTGCCATATCGAAAATCTAAAAAACACTCAAATTGAGTGTTGTTTTCAGGAGTCGGTTGAATGGTGCTTAACGAGTTATTGCTTGAAGGATTTATCTTAGCGAACTTTGAAAAAGCAGTTGAACAAGTGTCATATATCAATTATATTGGTATAAAAAAAATTATTCAAATCTTTTATGAATCAATCAGCTATAATTTTTATGATATTTTTTTCACCATAAAATAGTACAATTTTTTATCACAATTAGAAGACACAATTGCTAGTACGCTTTCAGATATAGCTCAATTTATTTGCAAACTTGTAATTTTTTTGCATAAATTTCTCATCAATCAACTCAATATTGCATAAATAACAATCGATAAAAAAGTAACTCAAAAGTCAAATCGATCCCGTGCCGCTACCAGAGATCGTTTCTTTCAACCTTTCTATTTCCTTTTTCCACAATTACAATATCAAAAACCAACAATATCGATTCGGAAAGTTTTAGTTTTTTCCTTTTTCAGATGGTTGGCTTGGGTTTTTTGACCTGTATGATTGAATTGTTTTAGAGCTCATGAATTTATGTTCAAAAATACTCGGAGACCTTGGGTCAATTTTTTGAAAATTTTTTATTGCCGAACGAATCACGACTGAAAAGGCTTGTTTTATATGATGTATCATTCGACTCATACCGATAATTTTTTGCTACCTGACTTTTTGTGGAAAACAAACAGGAAAAAACTAAAACACACCAGGGGATAAAGCGTCCTTCCCTCCTTTTAGTTCATAGGTTAAGCTCCTTTCATTGGTTGAGCCATCTGGACCAAAAATTAACTTTTTCGCTTAACAAACTGAGGGCTACAAAATCCGTGATTTATTTTAAAACAATGCAAGTGTAAACGATTGCACTTATTTACGGTTTCTGGCAGTCACTGAAGATAGCAAAATGGTAACAATTCTGTTTCAAAAAAGTATTGAAATTTACTCAACACAGTTAGTCTTTCTGTTTCTTCCATATATAGTACATTTTGATTGAAATCAAAAATTTTTGTGCCCCGTATCACTAGAAGGCTTTTGTCATAAGGTTTTGCTTATTTTAAACAAAAACTTTGTAATAACAGTGTCCGTAAATATGACAAGTATTCACCCCTTGCTGATTTTGAATATACGTCTAAACAAAGTCTGCGCACACTCCTGAACTTTTGGACTCTTTTTGGGGAACAAGCTAAGCTTCAAATAGTTTGACAAGGCAGAAAAATTCATATGCTAAAACAAATTTTTGTGTAGGCAGGAGACTTTAAAACTCTCTTTCATATCTCACTATAAATATCTTTTAATTTAAAAAAAAGCGTAAAAAAACGCTACAAAATTCAAGTTTTTTTCAAAATTTTTCAAAAATCAAAACACAGAAAAGCAAAACACAGTGCCTGAAAGTTTGAATTTGTAAATAATTTTTAAATTATTATGCACATAAAACGAATATTTGTAAACTTTCTCACTTCTAAATTTCTTACTCTAAAATGTAACTTCTTACTGGAACCTGATCTAAACTATATTTTATGATTGGATAAATTAAATGTTTTACCAATGTAAAGTATTTAATATTAACCAATCACGATCCATCTAACTAACAACCCACTTATTTGTAAGTGCTGAAGTTACTTGTAATTTCAGCACCAGAGAGATTTGAATTTAACTTAGAAATTAGTTGCACTCTCCCGAGTACTTCAGCCGCCGCAATAAACCAGTATACCCTAGATCTATTGAGCCTAGCAGAGACTAGTTAAACAACCTGAGACTAGATAGTATAAGAGTAAGATTAGGATCGGTATTAGACTAAGAAGTTGCACGAATCTATCCGGCCGAAAATAAGATAGCGTGACGAGCAGACGGTGTACCCTATCCGAAATTACTCTATGAGTTATACACTCCAGTCCTAACTCATCTGGTGCGACCATAAGTCTCGAACAAGACCTTAATAGATTAGAATTAACCAAAATAGATTAGAAATTAGACAAAAACATTTAAAATGTTATACGACAATAATTTAATCGAAATGTCTCTACGACTCAATAGATCAGAGCCAATATTCCGAACCATAACAGAACTACCCGGAATTGGAAGAAGACCTCGAACCAGAGACGACATACGACAAAGTAGAAACTTGCCATATAGTTATATGATAGTTCGGCAAAAGCCAGAACAAACCTTTATATTTAGAATACTACTCGCAATGAATTTAGATTTCCATTTGCAAACATAAAACCTTGAAGTTAATCTTCAAAATCATTTCAGGCGCTAAACAAAATTAATAATATACAATAACGATTGATAAAAAGATCTCAGATCGTTTTCCTAAAAACTCTGCAGTAATATACAAAACATGTTTGAAAAATATTTATTGGAAAATAAAAATAAAAATTAGAAGCATGACAATAAATGGTTAGTAATCATAAATCATCCTGTTGTTCCAGCTTCATCACCTAAAACATAACAGCAATCATCAACTCACTAATATCATAAAACACTAAATCTTTCCTTTACACAAATTTAAAATTTTATTAAAACTTAAAGTCACTTAATTTTAAAATCAGATCATCAAGGCTTATCCTTGGATCTTAAATCATTTTCTATTTAATTAAATTTCAAACTTGATCATCAAGGCCTATCCTTGGATCAAACAGAACAACTTTGTTCTCCCCCACCCACTTAATTAGTGTCTAACGACCTCAAACGTCGATTCACTGTCCAACCCTTTCTAAAGACCCAAGACTAATAGAAATTTTTAAACAAAACTAATCATTCAAATTAGGATAAACAGTGAAGAACTTCGGTTATTCATCCTTCACTTGACCCCCCCTCTTACCAGACCCAGGATAAATCTTAGACTTAGTAAGTTTAAAATAGTATCTAACGAACTACTCGCGTTCTAATTATACCTGAACCTTGTGGATCGATTTACTATTCTCCAACCTTTGAACACAATCACTACCCCTAAGTAAGATTAAGTAAGTTAACACCTTAACTTATACTAGTCACGAGAAAGTAAAAATCATTCTTCGGAATAGATATACTTTTCTCTCCAACCCTGAACAAAAAGACCCAGGTTAAGCTAACCAAAAAATCGTAAGGACTAACAGTTTAAGCAATTAGAATTCACCTAATACCCTTTTGCATCCGTCATCCTAAACCTTATGTCATTTAAAAACCTAGGAAATAAACAAACAATCGTTTTACACAATTGTGAAATAGATAACAAAAAATACGACCTTGTAATCACACCTCATACACAAACAGTTGGATACATTCGAACAAAACGACAAACACTAAAGAGAAAAATAATAACAAAACAAAGACAAATAACACGAAAAAGATTTTCAAAAAATCGAAACGCATTTTCAGAATCAGAAACCAACAGTTTAGACGAACTTTACAAACTAAAAGAATCAATAGATAAAAATTGCCCAATTCACGATCAACTATATTTCTCTGACTCAGAAACAACCTCAAATTCATCACAAAGAGGAAAAAGAAGAATAAAAAAGCAGTATAAACACAAACCAGTACATTTGTACAATTGGAATCAACCAATTCGACACATTAATAATTATATATTAACAGTCATAGAACGAAAAAATGAGTTCAACGCACACCCCAGGTGACGAAACTCCAGATGATGATGAAATCTTTCCTTTTATAGTAGACGCAACTACTGATAGAGGACAACACATATTTTGTCAAAATTTACTCGTAAATTTATTTGAACCCGGAATTAGTCCATGTAAAACAGAGTTCCCCGATGTAAAAATCAAAAGACAAATCATAGACCACTATCTAAAAGATATATGCAACATAACACAACAGTATGGAATCTACTCCATAGAATTCACCTCACCAAACCATAATAATAGAACATATACAATTCAAACAGACGATCTTGATTTAGAATTTTCAAAAGTTTTTTCAGAATATATAAAAAGCATCCAATACCATAACTCACAAAGAGCAAACTCCATTTTCACTAATGAAGTTTTCGCAATAATATATAGTTATATTTCGATATTAGAAAACGAAATCCCATTAACAAATGTCTCACCGACAGAAACATCAAAACATTTAAGAGTACGACATGAAATCACACTACTCTCTAGTTATTTAAACATTATTAAAGAAAATTTCACGAAAGACGACGTTTCACAACATACAAAACACGATCTACAAAAAATTTTTGGCATGGTTCATAATAGATTATTTCACACATAATATTGATTTAATTGCACAAGCAAGAAAAAATTTTAGACCCCAAAATTCGAACGATGATACCGCTATCACAGAACAATCAGATTATGTTTGGGACCCTGAATGGTCTCATCACGCATTTATAAGCTTCCCACAATCAATCTCAAGTCAAGCAATAAGTACAATATCCTACATAAGAGATTATGTAAGAGTAATACCCTTAACAATTGATGCAACACCATTAAACTATAATACATTTCTGCCCGATACAAAAAATAATAGTTTAAACTCTACAGTCATACATAACGAAAACCTCAATGGAACTAGGAATCTTACTCAACAAGATATCCAG